TCTGGCTAATTTTTTTGTATTTTTGGTACAGATGGGTTTTTGCCATGTTGCCCAGGCTGGTCTTGAACTCCTGGGCTGAGGCAATCCTCCCACCTTGGCCTCCCAAAGTGCTGGGATTACAGGCATGAACCACCATGTTCAGCCAGTGCTATGATAATAGATAGTTTCGTTTTTCTTTTTTTTTTTTTTTTTTTTTTGAGTTAGAGTCTTACTCTGTCACCCAGGCTGGAGTGCAGTGGTGTGATCTCAGCTCACCTCAACCTCTGCCTCCCGGGTTTAAGCAATTCTCCTGCCTCAGCTTCCCGGGTAGCTGGGACTACAGGTACGTGCCACCACACCTGGCTAATTTTTTATTTTTAGTAGAGACAGGGTTTCACCATGTTGGCCAGACTGGTCTCAAACTCCTGACCTCAGGTGAGCCGCCTGCCTTGGCCTCCCAAAGTGCTGGGATTATAGGTGTAAGCCACCACGCCCAGACTATAATAATAGATTTGAAAATTACCTAAGAAAGAAAGATTGGATTATTCTGAAAGATTTATTTCCCTTGGATTAAAGTGAGATTGAAAATGGCTATATTGGCTTGGTGTGGTGGCTCACTCCTGTAATCCCAGCACTGTGGGAGGCCAAGGCAGGCAGATCACAAGGTCAAGAGATGGAGCCCATCCTGGCCAACAGGGTGAAACTCCGTCTCTGCTAAAAATACAAACATTAGCTGAGCGTGGTGGCGGGTGCCTGTAGTCCCAGCTACTCAGGAGGCTGAGGCAGAAGAATTGCTGGAACCCAGGAGGTGGAGGTTTCAGTGAGCCGAGATAATGCCACTGCACTCCTGCCTGGCAACAGAGAAAGACTCTGTCTCCAAAGGAAAAAAAAAAAAAAAAAAACCGCAAGGCTAAATCAGGACATTTCTCTGGCCATATTCATATATTATTCCCGTTTCCTAAAACAAAAGATGGAAGCACCAGGATAAAAGATAAAATGCTGAAAGAACCAAACAGTTTTTAAACAAAGGTGATAGTATTTTGGAAATGAATGGGTACATTTTGGGTTATTACAATGATTAGGGTTACTCGGGGATATAGGAATGCTGGATGCACAGGACTGATTCTGCACATGTCAGGGCAACAAAAAGACTGTTCCATATACTGTCTGTCATTCATACACCCTGCTGGACTATTCACATAAATTAAAAAAACTATCATTAACAGAGCCAAGAAACTAATACCACTGTACATATTTTTGCAAAACATTTTTTTTTTTTTGGAGACAGGGTCTCACTTTGTCACCCAGGCTGGAGTGCAGTGGTGCGAACACAGCTCACCGCCTCGACCTCCTGGGCTCCAGCAATCCTCCTGCCTTAGCCTTTCGAGTAGCTGGGACTTGAGATGTGTGCCATCATGCCTGGCTAATTTTTGTATTTTTTGTAGAGTCTGGGTTTCACAGTGTTGTTCAGCTGGCCTTGCACTCCTGAGCTCAGGCAATCTGCCAGCCTTGGCCTTGCAAAGTACTGGGATTACGGGTATGAGCCACCATGCCTAACCAGGCAAAGCATTTTTTATACAGTTTTAATTTCTAAGACTATAAGTACCAGGATCTACTGTGTAAATCGAAGTTAGATTACTTTCTCATCATTTTGGAAATCATGCCACCACTGTCAGCACTGTTCTAGGACTTGAGCTGACAACACAAACCACTTCAATCAGTCTGCACTTGCTGCTGCTCCATTCAGGGTTACTTCCATATGGCACAACCCCCCGGCATACTTCAATATGTCTTACAGCATAGTCATGTCCAAGCATTATCACTTGAAAAACACAAACATTTCTTCCTTTTACATTCAGTGAGGACATCATACTGATTTAAAAAGATTCTCTGTTTAAAGACCATTAGGGAAAAACTAGTAAAGTCCAAATAAACTGTGGTGTTCATCTAGGAGTGCTGTATCAATGCTGGCTTCTTAGCTATGACAAATGTGCTATTATATTGGAAGACGTCAGAAGTAGGGCTGAGAGGGGAAGGGGTATACAGGCAATCCTTTTACTATCTTTGCAAGTTTTCTATTAAAAAAAGGATTTTGTTGTTGTTAAGTTTACCTTTAGAGACTTATAGAAATTTAAAATTTGGAAAACTGTCCCTTCATTTTTGCTACTCTCAGTTTTTTGAGTTTTTTTTGTTTGTTTTTGTTTTGAGACAGGGTCTTGCTCTGTTACCCAGGCTGGAGTGCACTGGCGCAATCATGGCTCACTGCAACCTCAACCTCCTGGACTCAAAAGATGCTCCCACCTCAGCCTCCCAAGTAGCTGGGACCACAGGCACATACCACCATGCCTAGACAATTTTTGTATTTTTGTTTATTTTACCATGTTGCCCAGGCTGGTCTCAAACTCCTAGACTCAAGTAATCCTTCTACCTCAGCCTCCCAAAGTGCTGGGATTACATGCCTGGCCAATAACAGTATATTTCAACTATTAGTTTGAATTACTGAACTAGATTAGACATCTTTTTATGTTAATAATGGTTAAATGTTAGCAAGTTCATACAGTTCACACTAGAATAGTCTGGGCCTAATTAAATGGATTGTATTATAAAGTTGAGAATAAATGTACTTATTATTTTCAAAAATAAAAAAATCAGTTTAATCTACTGCACACACACACCTTCACTCTGGCAACGTCTTTGCATGGTTATACTATATTATCTGTGATTTTATTTTGAAGTTAGTAAAGGGAAATGTTACAAAATTATTATTTAAAAATGAGTAAAGGGTCTAAGAGGGCTGAAAACCACTGAAGTAAGCAAAGCATTGATAAGCAGAATAGATTACAGCACGCTTTTTCTGAGAAATTTATACCAAATTCTGATGGAAAAGGACAAAAAGGAAAAAGCAAAGTATCTGTAACCTTTCCTTACAGATAGTCTTATTCTTTTCCAATAGATTATTCAATAAACCTCTTTCACTGGTAGATGAATCTCCAAGTAAAAATATATTGTGAAAGAGGACAGGATAAGGAAAAGTTTGGTTTTGCAGAAGGCCTATAAAATTCTTGAACACATTCAGCTTCTGAAAAAAACATGTTAGGAGCAGAAACTTGACAGCAGTAAAAAAGTTTTCTGAAAAAAACAATTGGCAGGTGTACTGGGGAAAAAAAACCGAAAAAACAAACAAACAAAAAACTCACCTGTGCACAAATCTGATGCATGACATGACCAAACTCATGGAAGTAAGTCCTCACCTCGTCGTGTCTCAGTAGAGAGGGACGACCTGCCACTGGCTGTGAGAAGTTCACCACGAGGGCAGCCACTGCCATCATCCGGCTTCCATCAGGCAGAAGGCAGCCAGGCTGGAGACCGAAGCAGGCCGCATGACTGTATTTTCCTTCCCTAGGAGTCATAAACATGCGTTGGCAAGACAGGAAAATTCTCGTCTAGCAACTATATGGCATGGCTTCTTCCAGTCATTAAACCATATCTGTTACTAGAGATGCTTTTAAACATTAGTTTACCTTTTAGAAAGTAGGTCATTTTGCTAAAATGGAAAAACTAAAACCAAACGAACAATAAACCCACTATCGTTTTGTGTGAGTCACAGCTCCAAAGGCTCTTTTGTTGAAAATCTCGAGGTAAGAATGAAGAATGCATGTCACACCGACAGCTGAATTTCCAATTTATTTTAATGAAATTCTACTCTTCATTTTCAAAGATGGGATTATTAAACACTAAACAATGTTAAAGCACACATTTGAAATAAAAGATACAGTTTGACTAACTAGGCGGCCTTTTCATTAAAATCAGAATTAATAAAAAACTGAATTTCAGACAAGAAGTTTTTTCCTTTTATTTGAGAAGTGAAGAATTGATAATCACAATTAAGTGAGTTTCTTTTATAAACTAGACAGGTCTTTTTGAAACAGAATGCTTTCAGTTAGCCTGGGAAAATGCATAAATTATACCATCAATTAGTCTATTCTTACACAATGTAGGATGGTCTCTCCATAAGCTATTAGACTTCATTCTCCAAAAGCTATTAGTTCATTCTAGGAGTAGATGTCCTTTCCCCATTTTCTTTTGCTCACAAGACTCATAGTCCCTGATTTTTTTTTTTTTTTTTGAGGCAGAATCTTGCTCTGTCACACAGGCTAGAGTACAGTGGCACAATCTCGGCTCATTGCAACCTCCGCCTCCCAGGTTCAAGCAATTCTCCTATCTCTGCCTCCTGAGTAGCTGGTATTACAAGCATGCACCACCACGCTGGTTAATTTTTTGTTGCTGTTTTAAGATGGAGTCTTGCTCTGTTGTCCAGGCTGGGGTATGGTGGCAAGAACCTGGCTCACTGCAACTTCCATCTCCTGGGTTCAACTGATTCTCCTGCCTTAGCCTCTAAGTTGCTGGAATTACAAGCACCTGCCACCACGCCCAGCTAATTTTTGTATTTTTAGTAGAGATGGGGTTTTGTCATGTTGGCCAGGCTGGTCTTGAACTCCTGACCTCAGGTGATCCACCCTCCTTGGCCTCCCAAAGTGCTGGAACTGCAAGTGTGAGTCACCACACCCAGCCTAATTTTTGTATTTTTAGTAGAGATGGGGTTTCACTATGTTGGCCAAGCTGGTCTTCCAACTCCTGGCTTTAAGTGATCCACCTGCCTCGACCTCCCAAAGTGCTGGGATTATAGCCACTGCACCCGGTCAGTACGTGGTCTTTTTAAAACCTATTCTGATTACCCTTTTTAAAAGTCAGTTAGGCAAATAAAACAAGTTAATCTCTTTTAACTTTATGAAGAAAACAAGTAAGATGACGGAAAGTAAATATTAACTAGGTCACTACTTTCACAAAGATTACTCTCTGGTACCCATACCAGGGTGCTGGTAGCAATGACCAGATCTCCGAGTACAAAAGAAATCAATCATATCTTGGCAGTGAGACAGCAGAATGAGGTAGTAAGAACTGTTCTTCCACCCTGGAAAGAAAATCTGAGGACAGTTATAGGAGACTCCGATATTAAAGGATTACTCCTGAAAGAGTTCTTGGTTTAAAACTATATCCTGACATGTTTTAGTTAAAAATAACTCATCTATATTTGGCAGGGTTTTATTTTTAGGACATAACATAAGTGAAAGTGAGTCCATGAAGTACTGGGTGATATGGTTTGGTTGTGTCTCCACCCAAATCTCATCTTGAATTGCAGTTCTCATAATCCTCACATATTGTGGGAGGGACCTGGTGGGAGGTAATTGATTTATGGGGGTAGTTAACCCCATGCCATTCTCATGATAGTGAGTGAGTTCTCATAAGATTTGGTGGTTTTATAAGGGGCTTTTCCCCCTTTGCTTGGCACTTCCCCGTCCTGCCACCACATGAAGAAGGATGTGTTTGCTTCCCCTTCTGCTGTGATTTTAAGTTTCCTGAGGTCTCCCCAGGCCCGCAGAATGGTAAGTCAATTAAACTTCTTTCCTTTATAAATTACCCAGTCTCAATCACTTTATAGCACTGTGAGAAGAGACTAATACACTGGGAAAATCACTTAGGTGCTAAAAGACACTTCTGCCCACCAACTGGCTGACACAGGTACTGAACCTACTTTTCAAAATCAGTATATTACAAACTTGCATGTATTACTGAATGAGGGGGATACTATACTCTCCTTTGGTCTAGTTAGTAAAATGGTTAGTAACTGTAACAGGTTGACTTTGTTTTAGAAAGTAACCTGTGGAGAAAGAAATGCAAATCCTTTTGTGTCTGATGAAACACTATGGAATCTATAGTTACTACAGGCTATAGACACAATAACAACATTTTTGTAATTCTTACGACTGATGTTTGGGTGACATGATTTGCGTATAGTCTTTAATGCATAAAACAATCCAGTAAAAGGATTTTCAGTCCCATATTACAGAGGAAGAAACAGAATCTCAAAGAGGTTATGTCACTCAAGCATTCAAACTCAAATGTGACTGACTGCAAAGGTTTTGCTACTTCTACTAAACTGTGGTGCCTCTCAGACTGAAGGATGTGGCCATAGATGTAAGAGTAATGGCAGACAGATTACCTGATAATAAACATTTTGGTGGTCAATTTTATTTTATTTATTTATGTTTTTTGAGTTACAGTCTTACTCTGTCACCCAGGCTGGAGTGCAGTGGCACGATCTTGACTCCAGGGTTTAAGGTATTCTCATGCCTCAGCCTCCCAAGTAGCTGGGTCTACAGGCACCTGGTTAATTTTTGTATTTTTAGTAGAGACGGGGTTTTACCATGTTGGCCAGACTGATCTAGAACTCCTGACCTCAAGTGATCTGCCAACCTCAGCCTTCCAAAATGCTTGGATTACAGGTGTGAGCCACCATGCTTGGCCAGTGGTTAATATTAAATTAAGTAATATTGGCCAATGGTCAATATTAAATTAAGTAAATGTAGTATACAAACTAGATGATGATGATAATGCCAATGGTATCAGCTAACTTTGATTAAGCCTTTACTATGTGCTGAGCAGTCTTCTAAATGCTTTGCATGTATTTAACCAATTGAATCCTTACCATGACCATACAAAGCAGGTACTAGTAGGACTCCCATTTTATAGAACCTATAAGGTAGATACGAAAACTGGGGCACAGAAAAATTAAGTAACTTATCTAGTAAATGATGAAGACAGACATCCCAGCGTCAGAGCCCACATTTTAAACCTCTAAACTAAGAATCCCATGTGAGAAATATGAAAGAGTAGAGTCTTTTTTATTTCTTAATTTTTTTAGAGATAGGGTCTAGCTCTATCACCTAGGCTAAAATGCATCAATGCGATCATAGCTCACTGTAACCTTAAACTCTTGGGCTCAAGTGATCCTCCTGCCTCAGCACAGTTAGGACTACAGGTGTGCACCACCACACCTAGCTAATTTTTAATTTTTTGTTGTTGAGACACCTAAAAAATAAATACATAAAAGCATACTAATTTCGTCAAATACAATACTTATTTGATTTACTTGCTCTGGTACCCAGGCTGGAGCGCAGTGGCACAATCTCGGTTCACTGCAGCCTTCACCTCTGAGGCTCAAGTGATCCTCTTACCTCAACCTCTCAAGCACCTGGGTGTACAGGGATGTACCACCACACCCAGCTAATTTTTGTAGCAACAGGGTTTTGCCATGTTGCCCAGGCTGGTCTTGAACTCCTAGACTCAAGCAATCCACCTGCCTCAGCCTCCCAAAGTGCTGAGACTGCAAGCATAAGCCACCAAGCTTGACCTAATTTTTAAATTTTTGGTAGAGACTGGGCCTCACTGTGTTGCCCAGGCTGGTCTCAAACTCCTAGCCTCAAGCGATCCTCCCACCTTGGTCTCCCAAAGCTTTGGGATTATAGGCATGAACCACTGTGCCTGGCCAAGAGTAGAGTCTTAAAGTAGGTAGGAGCTGAATCCCTAAGGTCCCTTCCAACAGTGTGATCCCCAGTACCTTGGATAGAGGTCCAAATAGAACTGTCCCAATACTTCTCCTGTAGCTTTATCCTTCACAGTATAAAGTGTAACACTCTTGTTCCAAACATGAGCATCTGTCACTTGTTCAAATGAAAGTCCCAACAACTCCTGGTAGGTGTTTAGCAACCCTTCGGTGACCACCTCAATTGGGAAGTATTCCTTGAGAAACTCTTGGTCTATGGAGTACTTGAGTTCCTCTGTCTGAGTCATGTAGTAATGTAGATCCCAGGCATTGATTTTCCCATCATATTCAAAACCCCTCTCTTCACATTCCTTTTTCTTCAAATTCAAAATAAACTCTCGTTCTGCTTCACCCAAGGGTTTTAATTTCTGGCTTAAATCATCTGTGAAGGAAGTGGGAAAAGTTAGTGATCTTCTTGCGCCTGGGAGCAAGCATACTCACACATACCACCCATGTTTTAGCATGGTGCTTCCTCCTTTGCAGTAGTCAATACAGATAAACCAGGTGGAAAGAGGGAAAAGAAGAGGGAAAAAGTGAGGGAGGAAAGCAGGCTCTTTTATGGAAGCACAATTTGCTCTTTGGGGTTATTGATTTTTATGGTCCTAACCCTTTTTCTTTTAACACCACTAAAACTGGGCCATGAGTTCCTCAATTCATCAACAAAGGTGAAATTTATCTCAGAGAACTCTGACTCAAGAATGTTATAATTTAGGGAACAAAGCAATAGTGAAATTAAACTCATATACATGATTATTCTTCAGTGAAATTAGTCAGACTCCTAAGAAAGCTAGGGAAAACACATCAGATGTAACCTATGGTCAGTGGTATCCAGAAATTCCTATCAATGCATTCGACAGCCATGTGTTTAGTTTCTCATTAACCCGTTTCTATGAAGGTCTATCTGGACACAGCAATTCCAGTTTTTAGCTGGAGAAACTTCTGGGAACTACAAATTATATTGCTGTGGTCAAATTTTCATTTTACTGTATTTGGCGAAATGAGTATGCTCTTATGTATTTATTTTTCACATTTTGTTACATATGTTAAGATAAAAATGTGCCTGGTCCTGCAAAGGCTATGGCGGTTCAGGAGGCAACCCCACAATGTGAGAGATGGAGGAGCAGCCAAGGAATACTGTGAAGAGAAATGAGGAAACTCATGGAGGATACAAATATATAGTTTTCCATATATATGTGTGCGTGTGTGTGTGTGTGTGTGTGCATACACACATGCACACGTACACACACACACACATACACACACACACACACACACACACACACACACACACACAGAGTTTTGCTATGTTGCTCAGGCTCGACTCCAACTCCCAGATTCAAGAGATTCTTCCACCTTAGCCTCCCAAGAGGACAATTTACATAGGAATATGCCAATTTCAAATTAGAAGGAAAGCTCTCTTAAATGAATCAAGTTAATCAGGTGGTTACTAAGGAAAATTTCAGTGTATGCAATCACCACTGAAGGAAACATTCTCTATAAACCTGTTAACTCTCTGAGCCATCCTCTTATGTACCATGCACTAGACCATAGAACAATTATCTGTCCACACTTCTGTTGTTTCTAGTAAGTGATAAGTCCATTGAGAAAAGGACCTTGTCTTTTTTTTAAAAATTATTTTTATTTTTAGAGACAGGGTCTTGCCCTGTCACCCAGGCTGGAGCACAGTGGCATGATCATGGCTCACTGCAGCCTTGAACTCCTCTGCTCAAGGGATCCTCCCACCTCAGCCTCCCAAGTAGCTAGAATTACAGGCACGTGCCACCATGCCTGGCTAATTTTTAAATATTTTGTAGAGACAGGGTTGGGGTCTCTTTGTTTCCCAGGCTGGTCTTGAACTCCCGGCCTCAAGCAGTCTTCCTACCTCAGCCTCCCAAAGTGCTGGGATTAGAGGCTTGAGCCACCACGTCCAGCCAAAAAGACGTTGTCTTATTCCTTTCTGTAATCCTACTATTTAACATACTGCCTAAGGCTGGAGAGTTATTTCATAAATGTCTCATGAATGAATGAGTGAATCATACGATAACAAATACATACCATTTATGGAGTTTAAATTAATGTTAATATAGTTATTAGATAATAGTTTTGATGTAATCATTTTATATTATAGTTTATTAGGTAATAGTTTTTATGAATATTATTTTATATTACTTTTGTATATTAACAAGTGGTTCCTGGAATATTAACTGATTTTTGTTTATATATGTTCTATTTTCATGTATGTCATATTGGTCAGCTTATTTTATACAAATTCATAAGCAGCAATGTGATGACTGCTAAATACCTAGTGACAGTGAATAAAGTCAGTAACTTTAAGAACTCTCTCTTAGAACCTAGATGTCATGTTAGAAATTAATATAAAAAGCTCAAACAAGATATAAGATAGAGCGAAGCCAAGCCTATACTAGCAATATAAATAATGAGCAGTCCCCAGAACCAAGCATACTATCTAACACATAATAGGTGATCAATATAATTCTCTCAAATCAATGAAACGTAGGATGTCCTCAAAGGCATATTATGTTCTGAGGCCTTCTGTCCGTTGGCATGGTACAGCAAAACAGTCATAGAAAAAACAAAGAACTAACCTAGAAAGGCTGTTACGTGGCTTGTGCTCTTTGCAGTGTTCATTTCAAGGACAAAGTCAGCATGTGTTCTATAACCGAGTAGTTTGGCCACCTCGGCCCGCAGTGGGAGTAGCTGCTGTAAAATTACAGTGTTTTCCTAATAATAAACAACAGCAACAAAAAAAGGTTAATCAATAATTTGAACCAAAGCACTAAAAGGAAGAATTACTTGTATGTATTTTTAGTTTTGTAAAATTGTCAAATTTTTTTAGACCATTTAAACTTTGGGTTCCATTTCAGTGTTACAGACTTTTTTTTTTTTTTTTTTGGCTTCATGATTTAATGTCAGAAATAATTTATGACTTTTTAAATCTCAGGAGAGAACTATGAGGTCTTAGTAAAACTGTAGGTGCTATGAACTTAGAGTGAAAATATATTTTTAAGGAAAACAGTGAATCCATATTTACTTTTACTGACAGAACTGTACCAAATGTTGGTACTTTCAGTTCTTTTGGACATTTTTATTGTGGTAAAATATAGATGACATAAAACTTATCATTTTCATTTCATACCCATTTGTATGGCTACTATTTTTAAAAACACAGAAAATGTGCTGGTGAGGAAATGGAGACGTTGGAACCCTTGTGCATTGCTGATGAGAATGTAAAGTAGTTCAGCTGGTGCAGAAAATGTTCTGGCAATTCCTAAAAAAGTTAAACCATATGATCCAGCAATTCCACATCTCAGTATATAACAAAGATAATTGAAAGCAGAGACTCAAAGAGAGATCTCCCCACCCATGTTCACAGCAGCATTATTTACAACAGCCAAAAGATGGAAGCAACCCAAGTGCCCACGGACAGATGTATAGGTCAACAAAATGTGGCAGAGATATACAATGTAATAGAATTCTGCCTTTGTAAGGAAAGAAATTCTGACACATGCTACAACATGGATGACCCTTTAAGGTTTGCTAAGTGAAATAAGCCAGATACAAAAAGACAAATATTTGATGACTCCACTTATATGAAGTTCCTAGGGTAGTGAAATTCAGAGACACAGAGTAGAACAGTAATTGCCAGGGCCTGGGGAAAGAAAATAAGGGGGAGTTACTGCTTAATGGGTACAGTTTCAGTTAAGGAAGATGAAAAAGCTCTGCAGGTAGATGGAGGTGATGGCTGCAGAACAGTATAAACATATTCTCAATGTGAACATAATTAATGCCACATGCTCTGTTCTGAATGTCCCCCAAAATGAATGTGTTGAAATGTAATCCCTTTTGTGGTAGTGTTAAAAGGCAGGGAAGTGACTAATGAATTAGTGCCTTATGAAAAGGCTGGAGTTAAGGTACTTGGGCCTTTTCTGCCCTTCCCCCTTCTGCCATGTGAAGACAAGGGAAAAAGGCCCTTTCTAGACACTGAATCCTGGGGTGCCTTGATCTCGAGTTTCTCAGCCTTCAGAACTGTGAAAATTTTCTATTGTTTATGAATTACTTCATCTGTGGTATTTTGTTATAGCAGCACAAATGAACTGAGACACTATAAAATTCTGCTTTTAAAAATATTTCAGGGATCCGGGTGTGGTAGCTCATACCTGTAATCCCAGCACTTCGGGAGGCCAAGGCAGGTGGATCACAAGGTCAGGATTTTGAGACCAGTCTCACCAAAATGGTGAAACCCCGTCTCTATTAAAAATACAAAAATTAGGGGGTTGTGGTGGCAGGTGCCTGTAATCCCAGCTACTTGGGAGGCTGAGGCAGGAAAACTGCCTGAACCCAGGAGGCAGAGGTTGTAGTGAGCCGAGATCACTCCACTGCACTCTAGCCTCGATGACTGAGCAAGACTCCCTCTCAAAAAAAAAAAAAAAAAAAAAAAAAGTTTCAGGGATTTTTCCCAAGTTAACATTACAAATATCTTTTACATTTTATTTGTATTACAAAGATAAAAATGGACATTATTTTATTATTTTCTTAACAATGAAATAAAAAGTAATTCTTCTAGAGGAAGTAAATAATGTTAAAGTAAAAGAGAAAACTAATCCTAATAATCAAATCAGCAAATTATATACAGACTGCTTGCTAAGGAAAAACACACACTGAGGTCACACTGCCTATGTTCAAAATTTGGTTCCACCATTTACTAGTTACCTGATCTTGGGCAAATTTTGTAGCTTTCTGAGCCTCAGTTTTCTCATTTGCAAGATGTGGAAAATAAAAGTACCTACACTGAAGAGTAATTATGAAGATTCAAATGATAATATATGTAAAGTACTTAGAAAAATGTCTGGCACATAACCAAACACTATATAATTATGTCATAATTATTATTTTAAAACTAAAATGGAAACATAGAAAAGAGAAATACATATAATTCTCCAAGTTATAAATTAAATAGTTTATTTGGATTTTTCTTCCATTTTTTTCAGTTTTTCCAGATCTCTCTAGACTGCCAATTTTCTCCCAATATCTGTTCTCTCACTTTTTATTTTAGTAATAAAACTCTGATTTTTTTTTTTAAAGGTTTTGTAGAAATGAGGTCTTGCCATGTTGCTCAGTCTGATCTTGAATTCCTGGCTTCAAGCAATCTTCTCACTTTGGCCTCTTGGAAGTGTTGGGATTACAAGTGTGAGCCACTGTTCATGGCTGAACTCTTAAATTTTTGCTGGACACTTGGTTACCTATTATGTTTCCCAGCCTTCCTCAAAGCTATCTGTGGCCATGTGATACTCAATAGGACAATGGGATGTGAATGAAGTGATGAGTGAAATTTCTGCGTCATGTCTCACAGATCTTTGCCTTGCTGGCTGTGAACTGAAGACGACAACAATGACCCTGAAAACCACACACTGAGGATGGTAGAGCTGTCTTCCACCTCTGGACCACTCACTGTTTGACTTATAGTTACAAGACAATTTTTTTTTTTAATTGTGGAAAAATCTGCCATTTTAGCCATGTAAAATTCAGTGGTAATAATACCCATTCTGCTGTGTAACCACTATCATGATCTGTTGCTAAAACTATTCCATTACCCAAAACAGAAACTCTCTAACCATTAACTCCTCAGTCTTCCCTCTTCCATTCCCTGGTAACTTCTAATCTACTTTCTAAAAAGAAATACGTTTTATCTTATTTGAGCTACCGTGCTTTTGACTTCTGTAAAGTCCCTTAGCCTAGACCCTGACACACATAGATATTAATACCAGAAATAGGGTACTACTAACAATAAAAATGAAAAATGTACAGGAACGGAAGGTTAGGACCCAGACACTGCAGGCTGGAAAGCTGGTGATTCTCATTATACCATGGGCATTTGTGAAAACTGTTGTTTGTCATAACTCAGGAGGCAGGCCATGCACCTACTGAGTCTTAGCTCTAGAGAAATTGTTTGGGAAAACTAATAATGTTGGCAGGTGTTTTTGGCATTTGTTGCTTTTAGAAAAATTACATGGGAGAGATGAGCTTGGGTGAGAATTGGCCAGTTTCTAAAGACAGAAGGGAAAGAATTCTTCTTAGGGAGGTTCTGCCTATGGTCCACAATCTTCAGCTGGTTGGAAAAGCCAACTGCTCTGTATTTCTAGTGTCAGGAGGAAAGGCTGTCACTCAGAGATACTGAACTGCAGACATGAGTTTGAGAATGCTGCTTTCCTCCACAAGCTCACTATGTTCAGAGGGCCTGAAAGCAGACTTTATTAAATGGAGGAAGAGTGAGATGAATAAAATTCAGAAGCCAGTATATAAGATTTGGCAAGTTTAAGAACTATGACCAAAAGTGATATTTGGGTATAGTTATTTTGACATGCATCTGATTAGAGACAGACAAGAAACCTACATTTTTGAGGAAGCTGTATTACCAAAAATATCATAAGCCTGGCCTACAAAAGTTTGTGATTATTTGATCCCTAAGCAACTCTTGGGATTCTACCTGGCATTAACAGGACCAGCAGTCCCCCAAGATATGGTCATCGAAGATAACAGACAAAAACAATTCCCTGTGGGCAAAACTGGGGGCCATGGAGTACAACTAATAAAGGAATTCTTGTGAGAAAGCAGACCCAAGTTTAGTCCAATAAGCTAACCAAGAAACTTCACTATAGTACAGAATCTTCACAATTCCTTAGGAATTTGAAAGTTTTAGAAAATTGCTGTGGGTTCACTATGTTTCCCAGTCTTTCCTTTTCCAAATGGGAACTTTTCGTGTGGTTATTCTTTTCCTATTCCATCACTGTGGATATGAGGGGAGGGTGTTGGGGTGAGGGGTCCTTTTATAGTTTCCTAGATTATGAGAAGCTACAACCACGCAGAGATGCTGGTCTTTGAGCTTAAGGCAGTAACTGGGAATTAACAAATGGTGAATGAGTCTTGTGTATTGAAAAAAGGCTCCTCACGGTTACTTGGATAGCTAGAGAGACAGATCATGGTAGAACTGGCTAGACGACTGAGAATCTTTCTTTTCTTTTTCATATTTAAAGCATTTGTTTAGTTTTGATGTATGTGTGTGTTGTGAAATCATTAACATAATCAAGGCAATGAACATTTCAATTATCCCCCTGGAAATTTCATCTTGATTACCCTCTATTGTGATTCTTCTCCTGCACTCCTTCCAATCCATCTCTAAGCAACCACTATTTCTAGTCACTTTTCTTTTTAATAATAAAACCCCCAAGTCTGAGCAAATGGCTTTCCACTAATGACTACATTTCCCAGCCTTCCTTACAGCTAGATATGATGAAATCAGAGTCAATGGGATGTGAATGGAGTTGATGTATGTCATTTTCAAGTCTTTTCCTACAAGATGCTCGCTCCGTGCTCTTCCTCCACTTCCCAACAGGCTAAAAAAGGAATGAACTTGGAAGTCACTTGTTGAGGGACTGATGCCTTATCAGTCCTGGATTGTTGATTTAGGAGAGGAGCAACTTCTAGTTTATTTAACACACTGTATTTTTATTAGAACAGCTTATCCTGTGACCACATCAAGCAGGTTGCCAGTGAGCAATGAAAAAGCTAGAAGTCTTATAAGTCTGAGGAATTAGAGATACAGTGCACACACAAATAGGAATAGCAGTCTCTGAGCTGACTTTGATACTAGTAAACAAAGTAAAGTCTTTTCTTAAAACACTCCATTAAAAACGAAAGACGAACATTTATAATACCTCTTTGCACCTTGTATTAAAAGCCATTTCCATCCTTCTTCTGGTTTCAGGAATACAACATTTCTTCATGACAGGGAAATAGTGTGGATATTTTAAGGTAATTTTATACTTGTCGTCATCTGTCTTTTCTAAACTATCAATGAAATCATCAGGAAGAGCACCTGCAAAAAATCATTTTCTCATATATCAAATTTTCTACTCATTACTGGTGTATTTTGCATTGGCATGGTGCCTTTTAGTAACTCTAGGAATTTTGTGGAGTAATTGAAATTCAAGTAAAATAATGACAATCCTTTTAATATTATTTTGATGTTGCTAAAATGGGGGTGGCTGTTAGAGGCTAGGTGCCTTGAGAGATGGTAATTCAAAATATGAACAGGTTTAAGTAAACTTGTGCAAATGATGTTTTAGTGGAGAACAGGCAAAATTAAGTCAAGAAGAACCAGGACTGAATAAGAAGAGATTATTTTAAGATACAATGCAGGAAACATTGCAAGGCCAAAAAAATTTTAAGGTACTGAAGTCTATTAAACATAAGTATAAACTACCAAAAAAAATTTATGAAAAAGAAGATACTAAGTCCCCTCTGGACTGTCTCTAGAAATAGTATATACTCTCATTAGCCTAAAATCTAATTTTGGTTGACTTGTCTCTTCTGTGGAAGGGCTGGTGGGCTTAGGTACTGGATCATTTTTAAAATAATTATTTGAACTAAGATTTAGAAATTTTGTATCTGGAAAGTAAAGCAAACTGTGAGGTAACATTATTTGTCTAAATTATATGATTTAATCTAGAAAAATACCAAAACTTACCAAGTTCAGCCTTGGAAAATACAAGGAAGGTATCATCCTCATTGAGGTTTTTGTTAAAATCAATACATAGTTCACTCATTCTTTTCTTCATTGATTTGATTTCCTGAAAGGAAGATAAATATGCAGGACATTAGCAATAAAAAGAATCTCATTTTTCCTGGGGAGGGTGGCTCATGCCTGTAATCCCAGCACTTTGGGAGGCCGAAGCAGGTAGATCATTTGAGGTCAGGAATTTGAAACCAGCCTGGCCAACATGGTGAAACCCCGTCTCTACTAAAAATACAAAAATTAGCTGGGTGTGGTGGTGCATACCTGGAATCCCAGCTACTTGGAAGGCTGAGGCAGGGGAATTGCTTGAAAAAAAAAAACAAACTAATTTTTATTGCCATCAATTGAGCATGTTTCACTTTTATATGAAGATTGACTTCTGTGCCCACACTTCAGGAAGTGCTTTTGCAGGGATGTGCTTGGTAAAATAGGTTTCTGCAGTCCACTATGTCATGTCCATGTGTATCTGTGTGTAGCACTTACAGAAAGGCAAGCCTGGTGATGTCTTAGGAATTCGTTGTGAATTTGAAGAATAAATGTAGGAGGTATAGTAAATGCAATATATTGCACATAGTATGTACACAACAAATAGTTGCTGAGTGAATGAATAAATCTAGCAGCCCATTACCAATTAGCATATTTCTTCTTTTTTTTTTTTTTTTTTGAGACAGAGTCTTGCTCTGTTGCCGGGTTGGAGTGCAACGGCGAGATCTCAGCTGACTGCAATCTCCGCCTCCTGGGTTCAAGCAATTCTCCTGCCTCAGCCTCCCAAGTAGCTGGGACTATAGGCACAAGCCACCATCTCTGGCTTTTGTATTTTTAGTAGAGACGGGGTTTCACCATGTCGGCCAGAATGGTCTCCATCTCTTGACCTTGTGATCCACCCGCCTCGGCCTCCCAAAGTGCTAGGATTACAGGCATGAGCCACTGCACTCGGCCCAATTAGCATATTTCTAACAGTTTCCAGTTCAAAATTTTAGTTCAGTAATCAGCATATGGTTATGAAGTAAACCAAGAGATAAGAGCTGAGTAATTCATTCTATTATTGCTTTGGGGAAAAGTTTCATGGAGCTTTTTAAACAAAGATGGTTTATAGACCTTAAGATGTGCGTAAAAAGTATTAGGTGGGAGATCAAAGGAGGCAATAAGGAGAAATCACCAGAAAAAAAAGATACAATTTTATTAATCTGTCCCATTCTTCTAACAATGCCATATAATGAAATTTACGGCTTCTCAAAGTGTGGCCCTGGCTAGGAGCATCAGTATCCCCAGGGAAGTTGTTAGAAATGCAAATTCTTTGTTTTTGTTTGTTTGTTTTTGTTTTTGTTTTGAGATGGAGTTTTGCTCTCGTTGCCCAGTCTGGAGTGCAATGGCATGATCTCGGCTCACTGCAACCTCTGCCTCCTGAGTTCAAGCAATTATCCTGCCTCAGCCTCCCGAGTAGCTGGGATTACAGGCATGAGCCACCATGCCCAGCTAATTTTGTATTTTCAGCAGAGATGGGCTTTTTCATGCTGGTCAGGCTGGTCTCGAACTCTCGACCTCAGGTGATCCACCAGCCTTGGCCTCCCAAAGTGCTGGGATTACAGGCGTGAGCCACTGCACCCAGCCAGAAATGCAAATTGTTGAGACCCCCACACTAAACCTACTAAAGTGCAAACTCTTAAAAGTCCTATAATCAGAGTTTTAATAAGCCCTCTATGTAATTCTGATGCACCCTAAATTTGAGACTACTGCCCTAATACACTGTTCAGTGCTGTTTTCTGATTCTCTCTTCAACCCCCTTCTACTTCTGCCCCACTTTGTTCAGATAGGGCCTGATCCTATCTGCAACTCTAGGAGTGTGACTTCTACACCAGCTGGGCCGTCATTCCATCCTCACTGACCTTGAGACTGTTCAGATAACCCAGACCTGGTATTCCATTGACTAAACGGAAATTCAGGATTAAAAATAGAATCCACTCTGGGCCATTAAGACATGAGGAAAGGTTTACTGGTGGCTTCTCTATGTCCTTATAGATGGTGGAGTTTTTAGATTTATAACCATTTTGGTAATGAAAGGAAGTCAGCTTTTAGTTAAAACTAACACTGAGGAAGACAGAATAGAGAAACAGAAAAATCAGGTGGCCAGTGACTCTACTGTGCATCAGGATCAAACCAACCCATGCAGCTTACCCACCCCAGGCCTTCCAGTTATACAAGCAAATAAATCTCTTGTTTAAACAGGGTTTTGTTAGCTGTAACCAAACATATCTTAACTAAGACAGTGTTCATGCACCAAACAGAATTAAGAATTGACCAGGAAGACAAAGGGTCAGGTAAGTGATATAATTACATTTCTCCTCTAACTAGGTGAAGGAAGAGGTTATAAGGTGTTCAAAGGGCTTTAGGTGGGAGAAAGGTACCCATGTCTCAGTGGTGCCTGTGGTTATAGCTAACATGCTGACAACACTTGATTTGGATTTCTTCCAAACTTATTTCCAGTTCTGCTGGCTAGAAGAATGACCTGGAAATAAATCATGGACTATATTTCCTGTCAAAGAAGCAAAAGGTTACTTCTGGAACCGAGTTTATTTTTGAACCTGGAAGACCTGACTGGCATTAGACAAAATGCAGTGGCTCGCGCCTGTAATCCCAGCACTTTGGGAGGCTGAGGTGGGCAGATCACGAGATCAAGAGATCGAGAGCATCCTGGTCAACATGGCAAAACCCTGTCTCTACTAAAAAATACAAAAATTAGCTGGGTGTGGTGGTGCGCTCCTATAGTCCCAGCTACTCAGGAGGCTGAGGCAGGAGAATTGTTTGAACCCTGGAGGCGGAGATAGCAGTGAGCCGAGATTATGTCACTGCACTCCAGCCCGGCGCCTGGCGACATAGCAAGACTCTGTCTAAAAAAAAAAAAGTTTGAGAGGCACATTTCAGCAGCTAATTTCTCTTCTTTTAAGGGGCATGCATTAAACATAGGATACTCCATTTCAAAGTGCTGGTTTTAAAAACTCTCCATCAGTAAGGATTTTATTATCAGTGCCGTATCTCTGTATGACCAAGGGAATAAAAATACAAATCAACTATCAGATCTGAAACCAGCTCTTAAAGAATGTAAAACAGGGTAGGGAAAATAAGCTCAACACATATGAAACAAATAAAACTCGTACAAGGTTAAAGAACAATTTTAAGTTATCAGTTGTTTGTCAGTCACCATGAGATTAACAGGAGTTACAGAATTTAGAACCATTAAATACAAAATACATTGTAGATGGATTTATATTATGGGTTATTTTATTGTAACCCATCTGTTTCCCTATTTTCTGTTTTTTGTTGCACAAGTTGAGTATCCCTTATCTGAAATGCTTGGGGCTTGAGACATCTCAGATTTTGGAGTTTTCTGGAGTTTGGAATATTCCCATTATTACCATTAGAGCATACCTACTTCAAAAACCTGAAATGCTCCAATGAGCACTTCCTCTGAGCATCATGTTGGCACCCAAAAGGTTCAGATCTTGGAGCATTTTGGATTTCTGGATTAGGGATGTTCAACCAGTATTTTGTTTTATTTATTCATTTTTTTCTGATAAGAAAAGGAAACATAAACTTACATTCTGTACTTGTTCAGGAAGATGGAGCCCATTTCTTTTCCCCATTTTAATCGACTTTTCCAAGTATCGTCTGGCCTCAGGCTTTATTTTCCCCAGATCACAGGTTTCCTGAAATTAAAGAGCATAAAAACCATTTCTGTTGAAACGGTGCACAGGTAAATTATAAACTATGAGGCCACAGCAAATTTATTCATCATCTCTGTTGGGTTATGAAACACATAGGTGATTATGAGGCAAGCCCTATTGAAGACCTAATTTCTTTTACGCTTTAGTGAGCTTCTGCTCATTTAAAACAGAAACATTAAATAAACAAAAAGCTAACTAGAATTTTCTTGCCTTGCATCAGAATCAGGCGTGCCTGTACCACTTGAAAGTGTGATAAAAGAAGCATTTGCATAATCTAATTCTGAGCATTCTTTATGACTGAGTGGTCTTTTTCACAAAACATATTTCTTATCACAAGTCATCTGGATTTAATTTTCTATCATTTGCTAAACTAGTTCCAACTTGAAAGGTGGGAATAGAAATAATGGGTAAATTCTACACAAATGCAGAGTGGGACTCTTTTGCCAATATACCAAACAGGGAGAGCTGGATAAAACCCCAGCAAATGCCTTCCAACACTTCAAAAACGCCTTACTGTCATTTGCCAAGAGAGATCAAGGGACTACAGCAAGCCGCATAGGAATGAGTATCTGGGGAAAATGAGTCAGCACTGCACAAAGAGGAGGAAAGCTGGACAGTAAATTTGAAATCTGTATATGGCAGTACAAACACCACTCACTCAAAAGAACAGAGAGCCCTGGAGGGGAATGGAAAATTCACCCAGCCACAGCAAGGTAATAAAGAAACCAGACGTTTCTCTAAAGCAGGTGGCAGAATACACATGGCACATCTAGATGGCTGGGTGGTTAGTGATCTCCAAGAACAAATGGACTCTGGACAGATTCAGCAGGGGTTATGGATTCAGTTTGTTTGAAAGCCAATGAGGGACTTTTGTTTCTAAGGCTTTATGGGCTTTGTATTGGTTAAACATTCTCTCCATGACAGACAGCCTGTCCAACCCTGAGCATCCCTAATTTCCCAACTAGTTAAATCTGTAAAAGGACTGTTCAGCTGAGAGACTGCATTTTAAATTGTTGGTGCTAGATCTATGCTGCAATAATTCTGTAATTGTGTGTCTTTTGATGTAGAGGTAAACAGAGCTGTATTTCAACTTAATACCACTTACTACAGCCAACTGTATCTCACTTTGCCTACTAACAAATTATTTTATTTTCTTGGAGACAGTCTTGCTCTGTCACCCAGGAAGGAGGGCGGTGGCGTGATATTGACTCATTGCAACCTCTGCCTCCCAGGTTCAAGTGATTCTCATGCCTCAGCCTCCCAAGTAGCTAGAATTACAGGCATGTGCCACCATGTCCAGATAATTTTTGTATTTTTAGTAGAGATGGGGTTTTGCCATGTTGGCCATGGCTGGTTTCAAACTCCTGGCCTCAAGTGATCCACCCGCCTCAGCCTCCCAAAGCGCTGGGACTACAGGTGTGAGTGACCATATCTGGCCAACAAATAATTTTATGTCACAGCACTAAAGCATTTGTTGTACATATATTACTCACAGTTTCCTCTGAGTTTATCCTCAGTAGAGACAGAAAATAGTTAGACTTCTTTTCCACAGAAACCTCCCTTTGGGTCCCTGGAGAATTTGTATAGGCTGGCATGACTGGAGTTAGAACCCTCCCTAGCTAGTATTAGTGCACAATGAAATGCTAGCAGCCAGTCCCTGCAAAGGGAAGAAACCCACAATGGCCAAGGTGATAACTGGGCTATGGGCTGGTTCCCTCAGGGATGGCCAGCAGCTCAAATTACAGTGATTAACTTGGGTTGATCTAGGCTGGCTTTAGTAGCGCCAGGAAGTCTGTCCTGTAGTGTGAGGTATAGCAACGGGAGTCTCTAGACAGTGCAATACTGCAAGCTGTAGAGCTGGGGAGAATCCAGGCTGTAGTTATGTTCAGGGAAGCTGGGAGGAATCCCTGGTGAGAAGGGTCTGGCAAGAGCTGGGTAAGTTGTTAAAGACCAGGTGAGCAGGGTAAGATCCAGAGCAGAGGGCCATCCCAGCAAGGAAAGGAGCCAGTGAGAAGCTAAGGCTATGGGGGAACAGCTGTGTGTGCACTTGGGCTCCTGGGCCACATTTGGCCCTGAGCTAAGGAAACAGACTCATCACAAAGCCTCAACAGCTGATGAAAGCAGAATTCCTATCCTATGGTTATACTTGATCAGGATGAGCTCTTATATTAGGTAGGCTGCAACCTGCCATATCAGCACATAGCAGGGTTGCTATTTCAAAAACCCTAAATTATATTCACGATATGAACTCAAAACTCAAAGTCTAAAACCACTTACTCCCAAAACAAATGATAAAGGTACAAACAGGTAGAAGGATATTCTTAGAAAAATCAGCCCTGAATTAGGTCTAATTAAAATATTTATTAGGCTGGGAGTGGTGGCTCATGCCTTTAATCCCAGCATTTTGGGAGGCCAAATCAGGTAGATCACTTGAAATGAGGAGTTCGAGATCAGCATGGCAAACATAGTGAAACCCCATCTCTACTAAAAATACAAAAATTAGCCAGGTGTGGTGGCACGTGTGTGTAATTCCAGCTACTTGGGAGGCTGAGGCAGGAGAATCATTTGAACCTAGGAGGTGGAGGTTGTAGTGAGCTAAGAACATGCTGCTGTATTCTGGCTCAGGTGACAGAGTAAAACTGTTTCAAAAAAAAAAAAAATATATATATATATATATAATTTATATATGTATGACTAATTAACTGTAATAAAATGTTTAACTTACCACAAAAATGACACAACAGAAATCTGACTAATTACAGCCAGACACTCCTTGCTAGGCAGACATTAAGGTTTCAGGAAATCTCGAGTTCTCTGGTAGGAGTAAGGTACTTCTAAAATGTGCTTCTTAAGCACATTCCTATCCCAGAGCTGATCATAGTAATATTCTCTTACAATCCCCAGGCAAGGTCAGAATTACTGCCCAAGGATTTTCTAAGAGGGAATCAGCCAACACTTCTAGACTGTCTTGCTGTAATTGCACCTTCCTTCCTAACAAAAATTTCTCGCTTTGAATCTGAACCAGACCATAGGACTCTTTAGGTGAAGTTTTTCTGCTTAAACAGTGGAGGGCTAAAGTTCTCCAAAGTGATCTTTAAGTTTACATAATCGGACAGTATGGAACCTTATTTTAATCTCTGTGGTGACGAGATTTAGTTTTCCCCTAATTTCCTCCTGTAACGACGAGTTTTAATATGAATGTGTATTCTCTCTCTCTCTCTCTCGGCATCTCTCTCACAAGTATAATTATATACTCATATTACAGTCAAGAAAACTGAGGATAAATGATTTTCCCAAGATCACATAGCTATCTAATGGTTAAAAACAGCGAAAAATAAATTCTTCAAATTCCAATTTAATGATTTTCCCAATGTATCATACAACTATATTACCATCTTTAATAAATTCTTTAAAATTTCATCCAAAAAATTGAGTTGATTACTATTATGATTTTTGAGACAGGGTCTCACTCTGCCACCTAGGCTGGTGTACAATGGTGTAATCATGGCTCACTGAAGCCTTGAACTCCTATGCTCAATAGACCCTCCCACCTCAGCCTCCTAAGTAGCTGGGATTACAGGCATACACCACCACACCTGGGTAATTTTTGTTTATTTTGTAGAGAAGGGTTTTCATCACGTTGCCCAGGCTGGTCTCAAACTCTGGAGCTCAAGCAATCCACCTGCCTTGGCTTCTCAAAATGCTGGAATTACAGGCATGAGCCATTGCGCCTGACCAAATATTGAGTTTCTTAATTTCCCCTAAACCCACCCCACCTTCTGTCTCATGGATTTGTCTTTTCTTTTTTTACACAAACTTCATATTTTCTGTTTCTAAAATATGTAAGTAAAAAATTATTTCAGTGGGATTTTCTGTATTATACAAAGGAGAAATTACAATCTTGTTAAAAGAACTATGAAGATTAAGATAGTATGTTCCTCTGAATACCATTTAAAAAATGAATTCAGGGCTGGGCACAGTGCCTCATACCTGTCATCCCAACAGTGTGGGAGGCTGAGGTGAGCAGATCACTTGAGCTCAGAAGGACAGCCTGGGAAACATGGCAAAACCCCGTCTCTCAAAAAAAAAAAAAAATTAGTTGGGCATAATGGTGTGTAGTTGTAGTCCTAGCTACTTGGGAGGCTGAGGTGGGAGGATTGCTTGGGCCCAGAAGGCAGAGGTTGCAGTGAACCAAGATTGAGCCACTGCACTCCAGACTGGGCAACAGGGTGAGAACCTATCTCAAAAAAAAAAAAAAAAAATAGAATTCAGGGCTGGATGTGGTGTCTTATGCCTGTAATCCCAGCAGTATGGGAGGCCAGGGCGGGAGGATTGCTTGAAACCAGGTGGTTCAGGCTACATTGAGCCATGAGTGTGCCACTGCATTCTGGCCTAGGTGACAGAGTGAGACCCCACCTCAAGGAAAAAATGAATTAGGAAACTTTGAATTTGCTAAGGAATTATAACAGGATAAAAGAGTATATAGTTAGGTGCGGTGGCGTCTGCCTGTAGTCCCAGCTACTTGGGAGGCTGAGGTGGGAGAATCACTTGAAACTGGGAGGCAGAGCTTGAAGTGAGCTGAGATTATGTCACTACGGTCCAGCTGGGTGACAGAGCCAGATCTTGTTTCTAAAAACAAAAACAAGAACAAAAAAATCCCAAACAAAACAAACAAACAAAAAAAGAACTAAAATAGAGAAATAAATAATTGTATTATATTTGTACTTTAGTTCTTCTGTTCCCTCTTGCCCCTGCCCCAATTCATGACATTTACTGTAAGGCTGCTATCCTACTACTGGGAAGAGGACATTTTTAGGCAGTTGTCTGCACTACTGGGCTAGGGGGATATAGCCAGGACTGCTTGCTGACTACTAATTCAACACGCCATCACAAGATTCACTGCTTTTGTCTGAGCCATAGCAGGAGGTTGCTGAAGTGAGGCATAACACTGCATGAAGATACATTTTCATTGGGGCTAGTTC